TATGCCAGAAAGAATTATTACAGTTGATTGCTCTCCCCTACTCTTTTTCAAAAACTAAAAACAACTCACTGAGGCTACAGAAAAGGTTCCGGATGGTTGAGCCGACCATGAGCAAGAGTCCTCTGCTTGAGTTCTTAAGCTAGGCACCCCCTGCAGATACCCAATCAAGTTCTGAAGCTCCCCCTCTTCCCAAGCAAAAAGCGATCTTCGGAAAATAAAATTCCAGTCATCACCCCCATCTTTTCTTTGAAAAAAATCAAACACTGATCCATCCTTCTCAACTGAAAGAGCAAAAAGTCTAGGGAAAACAAGAGCTAAACTCTGATCATTGAGCCACACATCCAGCCAAAATTTTGTCCTAAGACCATTCCCAATCACAATCTTGAGATTAGACACAAAGAACTCCTTTAGGGAAGGGTTACTTACAGCTAAGGATATAATATCCTTCCATATGATGGAGAGCACCCTTGACTCCACTGACCATGGACTCCATGGTCTCTAGTCTGCAGCTCTCTGGAGTGCTGTCTCTGGTCTGGGATGCTTGCTGCTGTATGCTTAGGTGCTAGCAAATCTATGCTGTGCTGTGTGTTCATGTTTTTTCTTACATGTTTAGATGCTAGTCTGTGCTGTGTGTTTGGTTGGTCTCTCACCAACTTTAGAGGTGCTAGCAAATGATAGGATAAACTTTCTGGTGCCAACCTAATTGGGATGAGTTAGCTCATTGTGATGCTTTTGCACTCACTTTTCCTTTATTGATGTAATTTGCTTGGTTCCTTGTTCTTGTTTATTCCATCAATGAAGTTTTTTTTTGCCGATCAAAAAAAAATAATGAAATCAATTGAATAGTGTGACTAAAATCTATTTTAAAGCATGATGCATGTTATATAGATATTATTATTGTTTATAACATCTATTGTTTATATTAGTCTATCATAAAGAGACGATAGTTAGAACAATAGACAAGAGGTCTATATATCTATATGTCTACTTTTCTAAGAAAAAAACTCATAAAATTACTTAAATTTTATAAGGATATTTACCAATAAATCTCATCTCACAAACAAATATTCCATTTAGTTCTAAGTTTTTTCTATTGATCTGTTAAGTCCTATTAGTGGAGAGTTTCTTTCCGTGTATTCTTATTTTTTATTTTGGTAGTGTTTTGGTAGACAGTTAAACCATTTTATTAATGTAACAGGTATGATGTGATATCCAATGTTACAGGTATTAATATGACACTCCAACAATGTGACACTCTAAAAAAAATTAAAAACTCCTTAGTGTACTTTTTCTAAATGTGACAACGTAGCGGATATGATGTAACACTCCAAAACTTTTACTCAAAAAAATAATACCTTAGTGTACTTTTTTTAAACATGACAACGTGGAAGATATGATGTGACACTTCAAAAAAAATAAAAACTTCTTAATGTACTTTTCTCAAACGTGACAATATGGCATGTATGATGTGACACATTAAAAAAAATTGATAACTCCTTAATGTATTTTTTTCAAATGTGAATGTGGTAGAGATGATGTGACACTCTAAAAAAATTAAAAATTCCTCAGTGTACTTTTTCCAAACGAGACATGTGACACTCCAACGTGGTGAGTATGATGTGACACTCTAAAAAAATTAAAAACTCTTTAATGTATTTTTCTTAAATGTGACACTCTAATATGGCAAGTATGATGTGACATTAAATTTTTTTAGTATACTTTTTCTAAATGTGACACTCCAATGTAGTGGATAAATTAGTCACTATATACATCCAAAAGGACTCAATGGATCACCAAAAAAAAAATAAAATATGGGACTATATGGATTACAAGTCCAAAATAGGAGACTTATTGATCAATCTCCCAATTTTTTAATCAATGATCAAGATTTATTTATGGTATAACCCCATAACAAGAAAAGTTTATATATATATGAATATAAATGGCTCAAAGTCAAGGTATAGCAAGTCAATAAATTTTCGTGGAGTGTATGGGATGGTTGGGAATATACCATCCTTGGCATGTTAACAAGAAAAGACTGTCAACTCATAATTATTTCTTTCATTCTATTAAAATTACCTTCCTTATATTATATAAGGATATACAATGATATTTCCAAAATAAAATTATTTCTTTCATTCTATTAAAACTACCTTCCTTATATTATATAAGGATATACAATAATATTTTCAAAATAAAAATACATTCCTTTCTTGTTGACTCATCTTCATTGCCTATATATACATACATATTGCAATAGCTAATCCGTACAAGCAACCACTTCCTCATACAAAAAAGAGACAAAACAATGGCAAAAGGATTCAAGGTTTTGATCTCCCAAATCATCTCATCCTTCCAATTCTGCCGCTCCAAAAACCCTTCCAACTTCCCAGAAAATCATGTCCCTTCATTCCTCCAACTCTCCCCAAACCCTGTCTTCATTGACTGCCTGCCGGCAACCCTGCCCCCTTTCAAACCCCACCGCTCCTCCTTCAAGCACCACGTGTCCTCCATCTTCTCATCCGTCGGATGTGTGTTCGGCACATAGTACACCTCTGAAGACGACCTCACCGAATCACCGGAATTCAAGTGGGACAAGACGCCACATCACGAAAACTACAAGAAGATAATACGTTGTGGGGGAGCTGTGGATGATGATATGGCAAACATTATGTACTACTAGAAATATGACTTTTTGCATCTATTTTTTTGCGATTGATTGTTTGGCCGTCGCAAAATATCACTTTTTACATCAAGATCTCATTCTAGTTGGAGATGGAGGAGTTGTAGATTTCGTGACGCGGCGTCTCGTCCCATTTGAATTCCGGTGATTCGGTGAGGTCATTTTTAGAGGTGTACTGTGTGCTGAACCCACAGCCGACAGATGAGAAGCTACAGGACACGTGGCGCTTGAAGGAGGAGTGGTGGGGTTTGAAAGGGGGCAGGGTTGCCGGCAGGCAGTCAATGAAGACAGGGTTTGGGGAGAGTTGGAGGAATGAAGGGACAAGATTTTCTAGGAAGTTGGAAGGGTTTTTGGAGTGGTAGAATTAGAAGGATGAGATGATTCGGGAGATCAAAACCTTAAATCTTTTTGCTATTGTTTTGTCTCTCTTTGTTGTATGAGAAAGTGGTTCCTTATATGTACGGATTAGCTATTGCAATATGTATATATAGGCAATGAAAATGAGTCAACAAGAAAGGAAAATATCATATTAAAAATTTAATATTATTGTGTATTTTTATTTTGAATATTTAATATTATTGTATATCTTTATATAATATAAGGAATGTTGTTTTAATAGAATGAAAGAAAATCTATACTATATGTATACAAATGTAGTATAGTTTCAATGTTTCTAAACTCCCAAACTTGGTCTCTCATTCAAAGTTAGAGATTATCTTTCCTACTTGGTAGCCTTATATATATTCCTTTCCATTTTTCCTAATTTCTAATAAAATTATTTTCTATGAAAAAAAGTAAAATTTGAAAGGAAAAAGATATCGATATACATATTGAACTAAAAAAGATATGCTAAGTACTAATTTAAAATATTTCAAATCTAATTATTAAAAAAATAAATGAAAAATTTTACTCTCAATTCTTCTATTATTATCTTCCTATTTGATAGTCTTAGAAATCTTCCTTCCATTTTTCATAATTTCTAAAAAAAATTATATTTATGAAAAAAAGTAAAATTTGAAATAAAAAAGATATGGATACCTATATATATAAGGAAAAGGATATTTCTAATGACAAGACTTGTGGGAGTTCTAAACCCTCAAACTAAATTTTATGATTTTTTGATTTTTAAATAATAAAAAAATTCTATTGGTTAAACTCTTATTTAATCATAATAATAAAACTCTAATTATTCCATAAATTACGATTTTTAAAAGGAAAGTATGCTCAACTATTTCAAAATTTAAATTTGTGTGCTACTATATATGGAAGCAATTCACTGAAATCTAATTATTTTTTTTAAAAAAAAAGTCGATTGATTAACTCTAATTTAACCATAACAATTAAACTCTAATTATTCCATAATTTATGATTTTTAAATATAAATAAATATATATATATATATATATATAATTTTCTATTTCAAGATTTAAAATTATTTGTCAGTAAATATGATAAGCAATTCAACAGAATCTAAAATTTATAAAAACATTTCAAATGGTCACATTATTTATAACTACCTTCCTTATATTATATAAGTAATATTTTCAAAATAAAAATACATTCCTTTCTTGTTGACTCATCTTCATTGCCTATATATACATACATATTGCAATAGCTAATCCGTACAAGCAACCACTTTCTCATGCAAAAAAAAGAAAGACAAAACAATAGCAAGAGGATTCAAGGTTTTGATCTCCCAAATCATCTCATCCTTCCAATTCTGCCGCTCCAAAAACCCTTCCAACTTCCCAGAAAATCATGTCCCTTCATTCCTCCAACTCTCCCCAAACCCCGTCTTCATTCACTGTCCGCCGGCAACCCCGCCCCCTTTCAAACCCCACCGCTCCTCCTTCAAGCACCACGTGTCCTCCATCTTCTCATCCGTCGGCTGTGTGTTCGGCACATAGTACACCTCTAAAGACGACCTCACCGAATCACCGGCATTCAAGTGGGACAAGACGCCGCATCACGAAAGCTACAAGAGGATAATACGTTGTGGGGGAGCTGTGGATGATGATATGGCAAACATTATACACTACTAGAAATATGACTTTTTGCATCTATTTTTTTGCGATTGATTGTTTGGCCGTCGCAAAATATCACTTTTTACATCAAGATCTCATTTTAGTTGGAGATGGAGGAGTTGTAGATTTCGTGACGCGGCGTCTCGTCCCATTTGAATTCCGGTGATTCGGTGAGGTCATTTTTAGGTGTAGTGTGTGCTGAACGCACAGCCGACAGATGAGAAGCTACAGGACACGTGGCGCTTGAAGGAGGAGTGGTGGGGTTTGAAAGGGGGCAGGGTTGCCGGCAGGCAGTCAATGAAGACAGGGTTTGGGGAGAGTTGGAGGAATGAAGGGACAAGATTTTCTAGGAAGTTGGAAAGGTTTTTGGAGCGGCAGAATTGGAAGGATGAGATGATTTGGGAGATCAAAATCTTGAATCCTTTTGCCATTGTTTTGTCTCTTTTTTTTGTATGAGAAAGTAGTTGTGCAATATGTATATATAGGTAATGAAAATGAGTCAACAAGAAAGGAAAATATGATATTAAATATTTAATATTATTGCATATTTTTATTTTGGAAATATTATTGTATATTCTTATATAATATAAGGAAGGTAGTTTTAATAGAATGAACGAAATTATTATGAGTTGGCAGACTTTTCTTGTTAGCATGCCAAGGATGGAATATTCCCAACCATTCCATACACTCCACGAAAATTTATTGACTTGTCATACCTTGACTTTGCACCATTTATATATATATATATAACCGTAGAAATTTACTCAAAATTTTAAATCTAAAGTGTATATTTAAATTTCTTATTTTGGGGTTATACCATAAATAAATCTTGATCATTGATTAAAATGTGAAAGATGCTGGAACAACTCTCCTCAAGTTGGTTCGTTTGCTAAGCACCCCATGCTTTGTAGGCACTGTTATAATGTCGTTGCACGCACCTTAGGTGGTTTTGAAGCATTATCAATAGGGTCTTGGATAGTAGAAGGGGGAATAGCAATAGCATCCTGGGCAGTAGGTTGATTGATCCATTATCTATTAGAAATTAAAATAAAAAAAAAGAACCTCGTGAAAGATTGTATGAACAATTTAAAAGTAATGATACAAAAACACGACAAACTTAAACAAAAATCATAACATTATTTAAAAAATAATACACATTCTGATTTTTTTTTTTAAAAAAAACCAATTCCTGAAAACTGAAAAAACAAAAAACAAAAAACTCAAAGACTATTTTTTGAAAACTCAAAACCCAACAAATAAATATATTTGATTTGTCTAAACCAAGTACAAAAAATAAATGAAGTTCAATGTAATCATAAGTTGTAGCTCAATTTTATCAGAACCTGAACAAATGAGCAAAGATTCTACTTTCAATACCTTTAATTTGAATAAAGGACACATTAAACAGAACAATCAATATGAACTGAGACATTTTAAACCTTTAATATCTAACCATCTAAAAAAATACAAGTCAACTTAAGTAATTAAATCTGTCTATTTGCTGGTCTAGTGCGTAGATCGAAAATACAAAAAACAAAAAATCAGCCTTTTACATCCAAAACAAGTTTTCTTCCCAAGTGAGTGTTCAGATTAAGGGATTAGTAGATTCAACTTCCGATGTGGCAACATCCAATTACTTACAAACCAAAAATAAATAAATTGTTATTGGTAACTAAAAAATTTAGCACCATCACATTCAATTCTCATGAAACAATAATCAAATACATATATGATATGATATCATATTTTGGCACTAAGGGGTTGTTGTTGTGTTAATGACATAACAACAATTGTTGTGTCTTAATTTGAGGCTTATTGGCTTCGTTCGGGTTGGAAGGGTTGTGTTTGGGGCTATTTTAGCCACAAAAAGACAAAATAGGCTTTTTAGCTCAATAAGACAAAACATCACATCCAATCCATAATCATTACATTCTTTTTCTCACAAAAAGTCAAAAAAATAAAAAAGCCCTTCCCAAACGAGGCTTCAAAAAGCCAAAAAGCCAACCCACTTCCCAAACAAACCCAATTATTTATATGATTCAAACCAACATTTTGTAGGGTTCGTCAAGTACTTTAAGCATGTCAAAAATTATTTTAATCAAATATCGATAACCATACAATCGAATTATATTTATCAAAAACAAAAAAATAAACAAAGTTTTTCTTTTGAGAAATATTATAAAAAATATGCAATCCGATCACGTAACTATCAATATCCGATCAATATAATTTTTGATATGCATGAAATACTCGATGAACCCTACAAGATGAACAATTCAGATTATAAAAATAAGCCAATAATAAACCTTAAATTGAGGCGCATCAGCAACCCCATACCTGTAAATTTGTATCAAATTTGTTTTGTTTGTGGTCCAGATTTGTAATGCATTCGGATTATAAAAGGCTTCACATGAGCGGATTGATAGTTTGGGCGAGGAAATGATATTAAAAAATAATCCATTCGGCTTAGGGTGTTACCAGACGATCGGCTAATTGTTCGGCCAAGTGCAATTTTTTATTTTTTTACTACATTTTGGGTAGTACATTTTGAACATTAATATTTAATTTTTTGTTAATTAAAAACCATGATTTTTATTTATTTTATTATTTTATATAAAAATAATTTAATAATCTCTACACTAACAACTATGATCAAAACAAATATAATTTTATTTAATTTCCTCACAATCAATTCTTTTCATTCTTTCTGAAAACAAACGGACCTTACTTATATTTAAAATTTTATTTTATTTTGTATTATTATCTTACACTTTTTTAATTTGTGCCCTTATAAATTATTATTTAATAATCAATTCTAAAGTTATAAGGTCCGTTTGTTTTCAGAAAAAATGAAAGGAATTGATAGTGAGGTGATTAAGTTAAATTATATTTGTTTTGATAATAGTTGTTAGTGCGGAAATTATTAAATTATTTTTATATAAAATAATAAAATAAATAAAAATAATGGTTTTTACTTAACCAAAAATTAAATATTAATGTTCAAAATGTACCGCCCTAAATGTAGTTAAAAAAATAAAAAATTGCACTTGGCCGAAGGATTAGCCAATCGTTCGGTAACACCCTAAACCGAACAAATTATTTTCTAATATCATCTCCTCGCCCAAACTATCAATCCGCTCATGTGAAGCCTTTTATAATCCAAATGGATTACAAATCTAGACCACAAACAAAACAAATTTGATACAAATGGCGGATTTCAGATTGCGGATTGATTTTTTCCATTCTACCTAGTTTTGGGCAGATGACGAATTTGAGGTTCATTTGGCCCCAATCGAACCGCCAAACCGTGAACACCCTTAGTAATTTGTAAGACTTTGTGTTTTCAATTTGTTTAGTTATTCTGTTTGTGTTTTTAATTAAAAAATAGTTTAAATATTTGTTGAATACATTCTGTTAAAAAAGAGTTTTCAATTTGAATATATTTTTTAAATTGAAAAAAATAAATGTATTATTTATCTATATTTTTTTATTTTTAAATCTAACTCTAAAAATAATAAATTAAAAAGATGATATATGATGGTTGATTTTTATTTTCAAAAACAGATATAGATGTAATAATACAGAAGCATACAATCTCTACCACTGCTCTGTTCATGGTTTTGGTGGTTTGAATTATTTTTATATTTTAAAAATCACATATTGTAATACTTTACATAATACTTTATGTAGATGAGACATGTGATTATAATATGTAGATGAGACATATTGGTTGATTATAATACTTTACATAATACTTTCAGACTTTCTTTCTTTGAAAGAGGCATGCAGTGATTGTAATACTTTTTTAAGTCATTGACTATAATATTTTTTTTTTTTTGAAAAGTGCACAAGTTGAATTATGTTAAAAATTTATAAAATTTTAAACTGCCAAACTGATTCGCATCCATCTGTTAATCTACCAATCCGCTCAATCCACATCCGTCGAATTGGCAAACGAATGCAGATTGATTTTTTCCAATCCGCCAATCTGGCGGACTAGAGGTTCTGTGGCCGCAATTGACCCACGCCCACCCCTAATACAAACTCTTAACATTTTGCAAGGAGAAAAAAAATCATCCAACCACAATCATGAAAGTGAAGAAAACTAATATAATTTTTCTGGAGGCCTCCTTACATTTAAAGAGAAAATATGTTATGAAGAAGTGTTATTTTATTTTTAGGTAATTCTGCTGTTAGTGATTTTCTATTTTCTTATACACTATCTTGATTGAAGCATGTGGCTTTACAATTTGATGATTTGAATTGTTATTTGATGGATTCTTTTTTATCAATAATGGATTTACTATATATGCATGAGTTTTTACACAGAAGATTTTGCAAAGGAATGGGTTTTCACTTTTGATTGCCACCGACGGATGGTAATCTAGTATCCCAATCAAAGCAACAGTTCTTAGGACTAAGAAAAAAACTAATAACATTCAAAAAATAAATAAATAAATCAACCAATGTGAAAAAAATTATATATTTTTTCTTGAAACCTCCTAACATTTAAAGAGAAAATATGTTGTATTCATGCAAACCTGGATAGTATGGTGAAGGCGATGGAGAGTCTCTAACGAACATAATGAAAAGTCTTCGGCGAAAGTAAGCTTCTAGGGTTTTTGAGGCACAGATAGTTGAGAGTTTGCCTGTAAAAAGAAATCAAAGTAAAATAAACTATAAGATCATAAACGATGTAGTTTTGAATTTAGGTTTTCTTATATTCTATATTATTATATTAAGTGAGCCACTACAAAAAAAGTTGGAATATAGTATCAACTATAGCACGAGGGAAATAGTCAGAGCCCATTAATCTCCTTTTATTTTATTTTTGGTAATTATAGCCCTATACCTTGATGAGATAACTAAATCATGCCATGAAGTCTAAATGGTTACATGTTCTCATAAATTTCAAACTATTAATAAACTAACACCATAGGGCAATGCCCTCATAAACATCAAACTATTAATAAACTAACACCATAGAGTAAAACAAAACCACAAAGCCACAATCAATTCCATCTAAAAGTTTAAGCTCTGCAAAAAATAACAGATCCAGACAAATGCCATTCAGCATTGCAAAATTGATAGGAGGCTTTGATCCTCAACCTCCAACTAAAAATAACACCATTTAACTTTTTGCATCCCATTGCTAGAATGGGCAAACGTAATATAGCCAAAAAAAAAATGAACAGGGTAACCATTTCTTACAAAAACAGGACCGAAGAGCCACAGAAAAACCTGGCCTCGTTTCATAATAATGCTGAATAGCAGAGAAACAGTAGAGCCAGTGAGGGAAAAAAATCTTAGTATGAGAACTTAAAATTATATCATATCATATCCACTTAAAGACAACTACAAACATAAACCAAATCAAAATTTTCATAAAAGCTGAACAAAAATAGAAAAGCAGTAGCTAGTAGGTTGCCTAGAATATATATCAAATAATGAACCGAAAAAATATCAAATAATGATTCTTGAGAAGGGAAGAGAAAAACAGAGCAGAGAAGAGACAAGAATAGAACAATACCTTCGATCGCCACTGCCGCCGCTCGCTACCGATCATAAACCCTAATTACTGAAAAAAAAAAAAAAACATAGAACACGCTCACATAACAAAGGTTGAGAAGAGAAGATCCATCAAAGAGAAGAGAAGAGAAGAAGAGAAGAATACCTTCGAATCGATGCTTCGATCGCTGCGCGCCGCCACTGTCGCAGATAGCGATCGTCGCTCGCCACCACAATCGCCGCTCGTCGCTCGCCTCCATTCAAGTGAGTGAGAGAGAGAGAGAGAGAGGCTGTTGTCTAGGGCTACAAACGTGAAATGGAAAAAGGGAGGGGCAGGACGGGGCAAAAGGGCAAAAAAATCTCTCGTGTGTGTCCCGCAAAGTTTGTTTGAAAATTTAATAATTTATTTAGAATTTTAATATAACTCAACAAAATAAACAAAGTTTGTTTGAAAATTTGATAATTTATTTAGAATTTTAATATAACTCAAAAAAATAAATTTGGGAATAATTTACTTCAAAAAATAAAAGAAGATTTTCCCAATTAAAAAGTAAAAAGATTGAGGGGAGGGAATAATATATACACTTCAAAAAATAAAAGAAGATTTCCTGAATTAAAAAGTAAAAAGATTGGGGGAGTTTCCGAATTAAAAAGTAAAAAGATTTCAAGGGCTCCCTATGTATATCATCTATATATAAAAAAATAAAATAAAATAAAAAAATTTAAGATAATTCAGTAATCGTAATATTTTTATTTTATCATATTTTTTCTTAAAAAATAAACAAATATATTTTTAAAAATAAATCATTTTTTTTAAGACAAATGTGAGATAAAATTAATATGTTATAATTATTAAATCAATTTAATTTTTTTTATATATAACTAATATACTCGAAGAATCATAAAAAATGATCAAATAGCACCTCTCTAGTCAAGGTGAGGAAGGGAGAGAAGCATACACCAAGCTTATATTACATTGGGGGTGTTTGGCCCAACTTTTTTTACCCAACTTATAACTTTTAGCTTAAAACAAACTAAAACTAACTGTTTGTTCCAGCTTAATCATACCAACTTAAAATAAAATGAACTAACTATTTGTTTCAGCTTAATCATACCAACTTAAGCATACCTAAGGTGGTGTTTGGGAAGTTTGTGTGTTAGGTTTTTTTTGATTTTTTTCACTAAAAGACTAACTTTTTGCAAAATCAAAAAAAACAAATCCAAACAAAATATCACATCCAACCCCATAATCATTTCACTTTTTCTCTCACAAACATCACATCTAACCACAAAAAAACCCAACTATCTTCCCAAACACCAAAAAAATTTTCTTCAATAAAATCCTACAACTAAAAAAACCTACATAAAAACTCACTTTCCAAACATCCACTTGTAATAGCTTTTTTTAAAGGTAAATAATCAGATTTGGAGTATCTGCTTCAAGGGTGCTTCTGATTCTCAACTTAAGCGGAAGAGGGTCAAAATTACTTAAATGCCCTTCACCAATTTGAAGTATTACCAAATTGCCATTATATAAACCACAAAGATATCACTATTCTCTCTGAAAGACAGAGATGGCGATTTCCGACGATAAGAGGAGATTTCCAGTGAAGCTCTCTTTCTCTATTCGCCGATGTGCCTTTCCTCTCTCTCTCTCTCTCTTCGTCTACCACAGCATACCTATGTCGTCGTTGTCAACGGCTCTGCAACAGTTATCGATCTTCTCCTCCGTGGCTTCAGGGACACCACCACAGCACCACCATCACACTCAACCACCACTGCTATATCTTTATTTCTCTCATACTCTTTCTACATCCGTCGCAACTACCATGATCTTCCTCGCGATTCGCCATCACTGCAACCCTCAAGACCAAATCGCGACAACAAGCTCCTCAAATCTAGGGGTTTTGGTAGTGGTAGAGAAGATGGATGAGCTGAGAGAGGGCTTCTTGCAGACCACCGGTAGCGGGGAGGACTTCTTGCAGACCACCGATGGCGGCTAGGGTTTTGCAAAATTGTAATGAAAAAAAAAACAATTTATTTCAATTAACTTCCATTTAATTTAAAAAAAAAATTCAATCAATATTGAAATAAATTGTGCAATTTATATGTATTAAATAAAAGGGGAATTTTTTTTAAAGTCCCTAATAATAGTAATTTAGAGAATAAAGGACACCAAAAAAAAGGATGATACATTACATCCCTCAACTAGAACACGCACATTTTTAATTATTTCTTGGACCAAAATACTCTTCACAAATCAACTGAGAACACTCAACTGGATTTTGACGATTGAGTTTCATTCCAAACATCCAACCATCTTCACGAGCAAAAGAACAGGAAAATTAGGGTTTCACAATCATCTTCACTATCGACATTAGGGTTTCATTATCTTCTGCAAAAATCTTTTCCATTCCTTCCTCACAAATTTCTCTCACCTGTTTTCACTATTCATCGTCATCTTAGTTCATCTTCAGCTCATTGCATCTTCATCTTAGGGCATATCAGTTCGTAATTAGGGTTTCATTCTCACTCTAGTAAGTTTTCTACAATCTAACGAGTTTTTCTATGAAAACACAGTTAATTGCACATTATATTTTGCTTCCATTAATTAGGGTTTCAATTTCGTAATAAAAAACTACATGAATTTGAAAAATGTTATTTCTCTGAGTTTTGAACTTATTCTTGTAGATGTTTGTGTGATTTTGTTTGTAAATTTCTCTGGCATTTGAATTTCTCTGATATTTGCTTGATATATGTTTCTTCTTTGAATTTTCTCTGGCATGTTTATTCCCCATTTGTTTCTGTTTATTCCCTCATTTTCTCTAGCATGGTTAATTTCATTCAAATTGCTCTCCTCTGTAAATTTCTCTGCTCTATAAATTTATCTGGCATTTTCATTTTCTTTGGAATGTGAAAGTTTCTTAGGCATTTTCATTTTCTGTGCTTGCTAAATTTATATTTCTTTTTTGAATTTTCACTAGCTATATTTTACATCTATATGTAATATTACTCTCTTGTCTGTGTTTGAGTTTCTCTAGCCAGATCACTTTTCTTCCTTGCGTGTCTCTGTTATGTTTAAATTTCTCTGGTTATGTATGTAAATTTCTTTGGCATTTTAATATTATGGAATGAAAATTTTCTTTGGAATGTGTAATTTTCTCTGGAATGTGTTTGAATTATTTCTAGCTATATTTTACATCTATATGTAATATTACTCTCTTGTCTGTGTCTAAGTTTCTCTGGCATTTATAATTTTCTCTAGCCACATCACTTTTCTCCCATGTGTGTCTCTATTATGTTTAAATTTCTCTGGTTGTATATGTAAATTTCTCTGGCATTTTAATATTATGGAATGAAAATTTTCTCTGGAATGTGTTTGAATTTTCTCTGGCATTTTCATTTTCTGTGCTTGCTAGATTTATGTTTCTTTCTTGAATCTTCTCTGGCTATATTTTACATCTATATGTAATTGTTATCAATTTTTGAAAAATTTTCTGTCATATTTATATTGCTTTGCTTATTTTCTCTAAGAATGGAAATTAGCTATGGCAACATGTAGTCCACACGAAAACACTTAGTATTTTCTTGTCTATGTCTAACTTTCTCTGGAATTTATAATTTTCTCAGGCCACATTACTTTTATCCCTTGTTGATTTCTCTTGCATGTTTATGTTGCTTTTTTTATTTTCTCTGGGAATGGAAATTTTCTGTGGCTAGATGTATTCTACAAGAAAACAATTAGTACTCTGACATTTAATTTTCAGTGTATAATTTTCTCTGACATTTATAATTTTCTCTGGCTACCTTAGTTTTCTCCCTTAGGTGTAATTTTCTTTGACATGTTCAATTTTCTATAGCATGTTTAATTTTCTCTGGGATTTAATGTTGACATCTTTATGTTTTCATTGTCTAGAAATGGCGAAATGCAAAAGCAGCAAAACACTAGAAACACCACGAAAGAAACAAAAACTCTCTGAGTCTTCTTATGATCTTAGATCAAAAAGCAGCAAAACACCACAAACTCCTCGCCAAAAAACACAAGTCCAAGGTGATGAAATAACAAGCATTAAGATGAATACCCCAACTTTAAAAGACTCAAGCTCAAAGGGGGAAAAACATGTTAAACTCTAAAGAAGAAGAGCTCATTACAACATTCAATACTGATCCAACCTCTCATCTTTTGTCTCCTTTTTTTAAACACTTAAATTCAATTTAAACCAACTTGAAGAGCTTCAAAAGACTCCATTCTGGTATTTGATCCAAGCTCTAACCATTGGAAGGTTGGATTCAAGGAAGTCTAGGAAATCTGATGATAATGTAGTTGCAATAATCCAATGTTACAATGAAAAAACGAAAGCATCCACAGTTGGTAAAAAAACTTAACCTTTACAACCAATGACATGACCTTGATTTTTGGTTTGCAATGTGGTAAAAGAGCCATGTCATTGAGATACTCAAAAAAGCCAAACACTGCATTCCTAAGGCAGAGATTCCCAAAGGACACAAGGCTCATTAGTCCTATTCTTAAGAATGCCTTGGTCAAAGCAATGAAAGGCAAGCAACCAATTGACTTCAAAGATGTAGCAATCATTGTTATCTTGTACTTGTGTCTCACCCTATTTTTTGCAACAAGTGGGAATTCAATAGGGTGGGTTTTTATCAAGTACGTGGAACCTCTTGAATCAATGAAGTAGTATGATTGGCTAGAAGCAATCACAGCATCATTGATCGATTCTATCACAACATTGCACAAAACTCCAGAAAAAGTTACATGGCGTATCATTGCATTGTTGGTAAGTAGAATTTCCATTCAAATTTACAATTATGATACTTACAAATTTGTGTGCTTAGTAAAATTTAATTACTTCAATTTCCATCACAGTATTGGCTATGTAAACATGCGAATATCATTGACTGGGAAGACAGTAACACAACTAAATTCCCAAGATGTGCCAAGTGAAACCTGCAAAGCTTGACCAAACAGCTGTAGAAGACACCAGTCCACTTTCTTGCACCTCGACAAGTTAGATTTCTATTGCAACTGAAATCTCAGTGAAATTCCAAAATTTCTTTGACAACTGGCTTGTTTCCCTCCTTGTGCTTTGCTTGATTTGATCAATTTTTTCTGTGATGCAATATCTTATATGGAATAACTTATGTGCCTTGCCTGATTTAGATCAATTTTCTCTGAAATTTCAATTTATGTTACTTTTTTAATTACCACTGGTTTATTTCTGCCCTTGTAATGAATTCTCTTTGGAATCCAAATTTCTCTAACCACAATTATAGTAACATTCACTTATATGCCTTGATT